AAATATAAACATAATAAGACCGTGATGCAGAGCGCGACGGAAAGCAGATCGAACTTTGTGTAACGGGAGCGGAACAGATCGAACTTTGTGTAACGGGAGCGGAACATTTCGGACTTTGTGTAACGGGAGCGAAACAGATCGAACTTTGTGTAACGGGAGCGCAATACATCGGACTTTGTCGTTAGGAGGCATCGCAATGTCTTTCACTTTTGAGATGTCCATTACCCTTCACAAGTGACACAGGCATTGCAATTTAAAGAGTGATAGATGTAGAGAACTTTACCCAAGAATTTCCTCCTGCATTTTTAGCTCAAGCTATCCATGACCGAACTTGAGTAAATGCTGGTTCATTATCTACGTAAACCTCACCAATTCAGTTTTCATACCAGAGCTTAGGGAAGCTACAACTTTACCCTAACAATATAGGTTATCTGGGTCAAAATTGTTGGTTGTAGTAAAAGTGTGTGCACATAAAGACACAGTATTGATGAGCGAAAGTAAAGGTTAATGCTAGTTGATCCACTTTCCAAACAATATTATAGAATTTGAAGCACAAACACCTACTGTGTTATAGACACTGTTGGCAACACGTCGTCTTTCTTTTGGCCCTTATAAAATTACAAAATATGTTGTACATGGTACATGGTATTAATATTTTGCCACTGTTAGGATAAAACAAATGCTACAACACCAACACTTGTTTTCAGATTTCCACTCTACTGCTAATCCTTACTTCAAAGCATTGTGCTGTTAGTTTTACAAACACTGTCAAACCCGGTTTCCAAATAAGATAATCAGACCATTAAAATTGCGCAGTTTCAACAATTTATCATGTCAGTTGTATATCATAATAGCAGGCAGAGTATGTTATTTTAATCTGAGTCATTGCAGTCTTAAGTGCATACTTGTGTTTCAGTGGTCTGTTCGAGATGGTCTTCAGATCTTTCACAACACAAAGAAATCAGCTTTGCAAGGGGCTTAGTGTCAAGCTGATCAATACGGTGAAGCAGGTGTCAGAAATGATGATTCAGTCTCAGTATTACAGTTGTGGTTGGCAGCAGGGGATTCAAACAAAACTAAAAAGATAATGAATCCGAAATGCTAGTCAGTCATATGGTTTAATAGACCAATTCATGAATAACAGAACAGTAGTCAGTCCAAAAATTAAGATTGATAAGCATAATGCAGAGTGTGCTAAAGGA